TCGCGCTCCTGCATCCGTTCAGCTTCACTCTTTTCAGTTTCTGGATGCACCTTTTGCCCAGCGTTGGTGAGCCAAGGCAGCCACAGCAGCTGCTGTGCAGAAAGGAACAGGCTTTCCATGATGGAGTTGTTGTCATCCACCTCCTGCAGGAGCCGAGTCATCTCCTGATGCAGAAATTCCTCCCGCTCCTGCATCCGCCTGACCACATCCTTATCAATTTTCATGTCCGCTTTCAACCCACTGGGGGTGCATAACAGGGCCAGGATGAAGGCCAGTGTTGGAGACATGGCCTGGTGGGAGAAAGGGAGCTCTGCACGTCTGGCTGGGAGGGAGCAAGGGGCTGCCAACACCTGGAATGTCCCCAGAGCCTCTCTGGGCACCTGCCATGCTGAGAGCCTCAAGCCCCACTTCTCCCAGCCCTGGGGACAGTGGCCTGCCCTGAGGGTCCCAGCTCTGCCTCTGGCTTTAAACCCCCAGGGCACCTTTCCCAGCCCCCATCCAGCTCAGCTGTCCCCCTGTGTGTGCACTCACTGGCTGCCAGAATGCAACTGCCCGGTGCTGCCCCTGGACACAGGTGCCAGCGTGACCTGTCCTCTGTGATGTCACAGCCAGCAGAACCATGTCACTCAGCTGCCAAGCTGGCCATGCCCCTGTGCGGAGGATCAGTAACAGGACATCATGCCATGATCAATATGATCAGTTGAAGCTGATTTATTACAAAAAGCAAACTATATTTATACTGTTCTCTGTTGTTCACACCTCAAGCTAATACATGATTGGTTAAATCCTTTTTAGGCATGCATTTTAATATTTCAGTTAATTTTGGTTACTCTTTCTTCTTCGTGCTTCTCGCTGCGGTTTTCTTGTCTGCCTTTGCATCCTGAACTGTCTGCTCCTGAGTGTGTTCTTCCCCTTTCATGCCTTTCAAGGGCATTGTGACCTTACCCAGTTTCTATGAAGGCTGGATTGTGCATATGTTGCATATGTCCATTGTCCTGCAAAAACTCTCAACACCCCTGCTCACAGCTCCCACTGTGACCCATGCCCTGGCATGTCACAGCCCCTAGAGCCACACCTGCCAGGCCACAAGCCCCAGCCTTGGTCCCCACTGCTGACCCCACTGCACCTCCTGGGCATCCTCACCCTGAGAGCCACAGGAGACCCCCAGGGTTCTGTGGATCCAGGCTGCAGACACCCTAAAGCCACCACTGAAAGGAACACGGATGGGGACTGCAGCTGGATCTTGCAGTGCTCACCACCCCTGTCCACCCTCTAGGTGCACCCAAACCTCACCTGCAGCAACTTCAGGAGTGTCGAAGACTCTTTGTTCCATATGTGTGAATGTCCTGCAAAGTCATATACCAATGTTCAATTGCTCAAACACATGCAAGTCATCTGATAAAATTAAAAAAAAAATTAAAAAAGGCATAGCTTCTTTTATAGCTATTTCTTGTGAGCTTTTAAGAATGCTTTCTGTTTCCAAAATTCTGTTATATTCTAACTGCACAACTGTCTCCTTTTTATAATGGTAGTTAGAAGATCCAAGTGAATTTGTCTTAAGAATAAGGAGTCTTTAAAGCCATTGAGAAGCAGAGAGCTAAAACCCTCTAATAGCCTTACGAAAAGGATGTGTAACTAAATAGAAGTTTGTCTCTCTATGTATTCTAGATGCAAAAAATCCATGAACTGAAATTTGCAAATACTCAGTCTTTATTAAATCTTGCAGCCTATTACAATTTAATTTTTTCTTGCAGATGCATTATATTTACAGGTTGTTTTCCAAGAAATTATCTCCAAGGGAGCCGTGCTCGCCCATGCAGCCTCTTGGAAACCTTACTCCCCACCAGCAAATAAATGGTCCCATGGCTGAAGTGACCCACATGACTTGGGGAAGCCTGCTCTGCTAGCACCTAACATTACCATAATTCGTGACCAAAAAAATTAAGCTCAACAGATTTGTCCATCAGTTTAAGTCTGGCTGCAGAAACAAAATTGATTTTTGAGGTAGAAAAAGAAAATAGCAGCCTCAGTATTGGTCCCTGGGGTTACTGCTGCAAAAACTTAAAAAAAAATGCTAAGAGAATTGAAAGTGCTAGCTCAGTAAGCAAACCAATGCTCTCATTGGTCATAAGCACCGAGTGAGCTGCTAACAAATGCTAATAGCACCAAGCATGTAACACTATAAAACCAGCAGCAATAGATTTTTCACTGCTTGTCCGTGGATACAGCTGCCACAACTTTCAAAGGATGTTCTGCTTCAACTTTTCTTCGCACTCAACATCTATCCACGTAAACATCCAGAGCTGAAGGAGCAAGTAAAGGACTTAAAAGTTGAGAAGAACTCAGATGACATCAATGAACTTTTTGGACAATGGCGATTGACAGTATAGGTTTCATCGTTTCTTAGAGGAACTCTTGGGGTTGTAATCATTGTTTTTACTCCTGTTTCCCTGTTTAGTTAGGTGTCTGCAGAGGTCCACTGGGGAAGTCTTCATAGTAAGGAAAAACAGGGGAGTTGTGGAATCCTCTGACTCCCCCCCCTCAAACTCTGTATCATAGAGTTTTCCCCACCTAGGCTGATGGAGAAGACTTAACCCATGACGCTCTGCAGCACTACTGCCAATCTACATCAGATTGCCTCCCCCACTGGCCAGTTGACACTGCCCACCCCAATTATTCATCCCTCATCCCCCCTACAGGTTGTTGTTGCCCTTGGCCCTGCCCTTTGCCCGCCCCTGTGCCCTCAGGTCATTGGTCACTGACCCCACACTTAAGCTGTGCAGAGGACGTGGTTTGTCCTTTTGTCTCGTCCCTCCGTGGTTTGTCCTTTTGTCTCGTCCCTCTGGCATGAGGGATGCAATAAAACCCTCGCTGGAATATCTCATGCAAAGACCCTTCCTGTCTTTCCTCTGCTGAGCTATCTGTGAGTCCATGAGTCCATGCACACATGGACTGGAAATGGCTGTTCTCGTGGCCTTCCTCTTAGCAGCTCCTGAAGGAAATGCCTCAAAGAAGGCTGCAGCATTTCTACCACCCTGCAATGCTGCAACAGTGAACAAATACACAAAAATCAACGGAAGTTTAAAAAATGAAATTTTTTATAAATTGCTACACCTGCGCTGCCAACATACAAATATCAATTTAAGGTTACAAAAGAAATTTATTGTTACTATCATGCAATGTAAATATTTACAAATATCAAATGCAGGTAAAAAACTAATGTACTGAAACCATCTACAAACACTCACTATAAGCAAATATCAATTGAAGTTTAACAGATTTGTTACATACTACTACAACTGTACAGCCCATATACAAACACAGAAATATCAATATCCCTCTCTAAATAACCACAGGCCTAGAATTAAAGGAATACAATTTCAGAACTATACAAATCCATACACATTTCAATATAATAGAAGTAAACACACAACCACAACAACGTACAGTATAAATATATATTGTGTTACATATTACATATAACAAGATATATATAAATATACACACATATGGGGATTCTGTTTTTTTTTTTTTTTTTTGGTTTCCTAAGTAAATATAATACTGTTTAAATTCAGTACAGGAAATGTATTTGTGAATCTTTGGTGTTTACTGAAAAGACTGGAGGACTCCTGGAGTTTGTAACCTTACAAGGGTGGAAGGAGACTCTGAAACTTGAAAGTGCATTTAAACTGCCAGATTTTTAAAAAAGATAATAAGAATTCTGCACTTTCATTCATTTGGAGAACACACAAATTACAGAAATCTTGGTTGGTTTAAATTTCTCAAACTGGCTTTTTTTTGTTGGCGTTTTTTGTTTGTTTTGTTCTTTGTTGTTTTCCCTGGTTTTGTTTTTATTGTGACAAATGTCAAAGAAGCCAAATAGTTGTAGTGTTCTTCTCATTTCTTTTTCAGTTTTTAACTTACTGCTTCTTCTTCCTTATCCCTTGGAGCCTTGCCCACCTCATGTGGTGTTTTTGATACAACCTCAACTTAACTTCTTGGACAGAGCACCTCACTTGTGCCCTTTCATTAGTATTTTCTCCAAGATATTTTTCTGCTGCTCTTCTTGAGGTTTGACTTCCTGACATCTGACAGGTCTATTCCATCATTGTGTCCACAAATTCTCTGTGTTTTCCCAACATGTCTCTTCTGGTTTTCTCACCCTTCTCCATCTAGGAAGAAATTGCAGAAGAGTAGGATGAATTTGAAGTAAAAATCTCTTAGAAAGTGGTGATCACATAAATGCCAACATAGCTAGTTGTACTCAGTAACATAAAAAAATACTACAAAATATTTTGACTGAGTTTGTGAAATGAAGCAAAGTTCCTAGTAAAACTGCTTTTAGAAAAGAACTCTTCCTTGGCATTTAAGCTTTCACAGGGAAATAGATCCAGTATTTCCCTATCTTGGGGCAGCCATTGGGCTGAAGATTTAAATCTCTTGAGCAGCAGTAAATTTCCCCAGAAAAGCTAAGCCTTTGCTCATTAGCCCAACCTGCCTAAGGTTCTCCTAGAATCATTTTCATGTGGCAGGTGGCTGTGTCTATTGTTACTTAAACTGAGCTTGAAATTAATTGATACAGACTGAAATATCTCATAACTATTTGGAAGTAAGCTAGCCAAGTGTTACAGAAAAATGTCATTAAGTTATTAACTTCTATATGCTATAGAGGCCTCACTTGAAAGAGTTGAATTTTTATTCCTTTCCAAAGGGAGAAGAGCTTAAATTTGAAATCTACCTTTTTGAAATCTAATTTTTTCAATGCTTTTGAGAAATCTCCAAAGCAATTCTATGTCCTTGTGTGAAAGATGCTACAGGAACACAAAATGTGATTGTTTCTCTGTAGTGAAACTGGAAGTCTTTCCATTCCAGTGTTTCACAGGATATCACAATACACAGAGGAACTTATGTTCATTATACTTTCTTTCCTGAAAGTGCTTATTTTTTTTCTTTTTTTTCTTTTTCTTTCTCTTTTTTTTTTTTTTTTGTAAACAACAGTAATGAATGACAGATATCAGCAGAAAGCATCAGGGACTGAGAAAAGAGTTCAAAGTGATCAGTGGCAGTTTCAAGAGGAGCAACAAAGATTTGCAATGGAGAGGGATAACATCCACAGAGTACACCTTGCTGAGCTAGAATTCCTTTTTAAAGAAAAAGCTGAAGCAGCAATGGCTTTTCAGGTATGATGTAGTAATAGATGGAAAGTTCCATGAGATGCTGGCTGAAAGTTTTTTGATGCAAAGTGTGTGGTGGGTTGGAGTTTTTCTGGTTTAAGGGAGAAAAAAATCCCCCAAACAGCTAAATACTGCAGAATAGTTCTGAAGATTACAGAAGTCATGAAGTTACAGAATTATGAAGTTACACTTGGTGTGTAATGCTGGTTTGGGGCTTTGATGGAAGGTGTTGTGCCTGTTTGTCATGGGAAACACCTAACCCAAGTTATCAGTACACAGTGGTAGTGAAAACAGGAGCTTGTGGACAGGACAGGAGCTGTGGACAGGACCTAATGTCCTTCTCAAAAGAAGCCAGTTTTTATTCAAAGCTGATTCTTGCAAAGGTAGGGCAGGATATAGGCTATGAAGAAGCCTACTTTTAGATAGGGTTTTCTTTTTTAAGTTGCCAGGGGCAGCAGGGTCAGCTCTGAGTTCTGCCTAACAGTGAGTGGCTGAGTTAGTTTGAGGAGGCTCTGGAAGGGTATTGCCTTCTGTTGTGCACAGTGTTTTGTAGAAGCTACCTTCAGAGAGTTTAATGCTGCATCAAAACTCAGTGTTGGAAAAGTATGCCATGCTCTGTCGAGTGATGTTTGTCCTTGAAAAAGGACAAAAGGAGCAGTGTATGGCTCAGGACATTGTCTTCTCTGTCAGTTCCTTGGCAGTGTTCTCTGACAGTGGTTGTAGAGGAAGGGGTTTTGTTGGTAAATGTATTAAAGCTACAAAATTGTAGGAAATGTAATTCACATGAGTAGACTAAGATTGCCATGAATGCATCTAGCTCCTTAAACAGGCCAGAGTGAGCTGTAGGGTTTCAGAATCTTGATGTCACTGAACTCAGAATTCTTTCAGGACTTTCAAAACTCACTGCAAGGAAAATGCGATTCCCTGCTAGGTGTCAAACCCTAACCTGCCTTCAGTAGTAAAAATGTTACATTTTTCTACTTTGCTTTTGTAGCTGTTCCCCTGCCCACCACCCTAGAGTTATGTTATGTATAATTATAAAATGCTAGGAAATAAAAAAATCTTACATCTTGATTGTCCTTGACTGCATGGAAAGCTTAATTCATTTAAGCTTGTCAAACGAACATCAGAAATATCTGGGTTTATAAATGATGACTTGGAATGCATTGCAGTCTTCTTTTGTGTTGTGTATTTATAGGCCCAGTTTAAATCCTTTAGTTATTCTGAGTTTTAAAATGAAATGAGTTCTAAAATGAAAGGAGATTTAATTGTGGTCTTAATACGTGCAGAGAAGTGGGATTCTGAGCATGTAGGCAAATCCTGGCTGGAAAAACTGCACTGCACAAACCGTAATTCTGAACTTGGTGGTGAAAATGCTGAGGTAGGCGTGGGAGTGGAGTCATGGAGTATTGAAATGTGCCTCTGGAACGAGCACACCGGAAAAATCACCCTCCCTGCTTTGTGACAGGATCTATTGGGCGGATCCTGGCCTGGGATAGGAGGGGTCGGATTCGGTAGGAAGGGCAATAGCATCAGCTCGTGGATAGGCAGGAGTTCATATCCCTTCACGTTTTTTTCCTTCAAATACTTGGGAGAGTGTGTCGTTCACAAACGGTTTAAAAAAAAAACAAAACAAAAAACCAGCTGTGTTTGTCATGAGCAAATATTTGTATTTGCAGGTGGCTACGAGGATAGTATTCAACAGTCATATCACCTCCAAAAAGTTCAGAAATTCTTCAAAATTCTGAAATCCTACAGCTCTTGCCGACTTGTTTAACCAGCTTGATATACTCACAATAATTTTAGTTTTCTAATGTTAATTATATTTCCAGTAGAAAATATTTAAAAATTTTTTGTTGTATTTCACAGCAAACTATTTGTTACTTATTTCACATTTCCCAGTTCACATTTGTTAATATTTGGAAGATAAACCTGAGGAAATAAATATTTCTCTATCTTTCCAGTTATAGAGAAGAAATGTTAGAAAATGTAGAAAACAGTTCATTTGGGCTTCTTTATTTCTTTATTTTGCATTCTGAAGGGTAGAAGCCTGTCTTGCTGGATGTGCAAAGCTAGAGGATTAGCTTAAATTTAATCCAAATTCATATGGACAATGGGGATTCTGTAGCAGTGACTTCATGGAGCTGCAGTGTCCAGTAATGTCAATAATGCTTCCAGCCTCTAGCTGAGTTCAATTTCTGTATGCAGAAATTGAAGTGGGGACCATCTTCTTTTATTCTACTGAGGACTTCATAAGTTTTGAACCTCAGTTTCTAGAAAGAAGAAAATGCTTTTCAGAAAAGCAGAAATCAAAATTACTTAGTCTGTGGGACTAACTGTTTCTAAAAACAGCTGAAGTTTCAGCAATGAAAATCATTACAAAAATGAACTTATGTCCCCATGCATAATTTCCCCAAGTGACCTCTGTTTCTATCATTGCCACTGAGCTGGGAGACAGAAGAGATTGGAAGGGCTGTACTCTTTTAGGGAAAGGTTTCCAGTGGAGATCTGGCTCTGATTTTAGTGTTACCACAGAAGATCATGTTCACAGTGATTTTTGGGCCAACACAGATTTCTTGGTGGTGAATCAAAAGCACGTCTGCTGTTGGGTAAACACTTCTGTTGACGGGTGCTGGCGTCGTAGATTTTAAAATTCTAACATCATCTTCTGATGCAGTCTCCATTCCTCTCAAACTGCAGTTGAACTCTCAACTGCAATACTTTATCTTAGAAAAAGTGCCTCTTGATGTATTGATTTACTCCTTTACCTATTTATCTTTAGAAAACTAATGCTGCCCTGCAAAGCATTGCCAAGAAGTTGAAGGATATGGAGGCAGAGCACAATGGCTGCACCAAGGTGCTGAAGCTCCAGGCTGCCTGTCTGGAAATCAAGAATAAACGGCAGGAGAGGTTCCTCCAAGAACTGGAGGTAAAGCTTTCTGCCTGCTGCTGGGAGCCTCAGCAAGCACTGGCACAACTGAGCAGTTTCATTTCTGAGGGGTGAAACCTCTGAGTTAGGCTATGAGTGCCCCGTGTTTGATTAACAAAATGCAGAGCATCACTTGGCAGGAAAGGTGGATTCACAGGTGAATGCTGCGAGCCTGACCTGAGAGTGGTGTTTGAACTGCAGATGGAAAGGGCTTTATGTCACTGGGAAAGTACTCTTAGCAATATGGGTACAGAGGTAGTATTTGCGCAGGATTTGTGAATTTTTTATTTTTTATTGAAGCATCTTAAGCAGATAGATCTTGTGGGAGGAGGCAAAGCTTAAGCCTTTTGGCTGATGCTTTTGTGGAGTGGGTTTGGTAAGCTCTGTGCTGTGACTTTCTCTTTAATAGGCCTTCCACAGATCTCTGTTTCTCAATTATTTCCTTTTGTGAATGTGTGAGCTAATACAGAGTTTAAATTTATTGCCAACAGCTCGTATGTTCATTTTATGTATTTATTTATTTTTCAGTTAACGTTTCCCTAACTGAAGTGCTTAGAGTTAGGATTCAGTCTCACATGCTTTCTCCTTTTGCTTTACCTGTCCAAAATCAATGACTTGACTTGTATCTGTGTAACCTTGAGTGTCTTAAATTACTTTTCATATGAATGTCCTTTTCTTCATCTTTCTGGCATCACTTGAAGGCAGAAGTCATTTTGGGGTGTATTGTTCTTTTCAAATCAATCATCAGTCAAAGTGAGAGGATGCTTTTGAAAGGAAACAATGTAGTTGAAATTTCCTGTGAATTTCTATTATAGCGGCTCTGTAGTTACTGCTTCTGCTAAAACCATTTTTTCAACTGAAATACCATGTCCAGGCCTTTATGTAGAGACAGGTATCTGTGACTCTAAAAACTGTAGCAAGAACATAATCCTACATCAATTTCTTTAACTAAATAGAAAATATGACTTTAATATCCTGGATATGTAATTGTTTCCTTTTATTTATTAATTGACATGAGTTTTCACAGTTCCAAAGTGCAAGTAGTTCAGATACCACAGGTTGGTTTATGGAGCCCTAATAAACTGAAGAAATTAAGTTGTCTTTGCATGATGTTATCATCTTTCTGGACTTAGATATTTTTTAAATGTACTTCCTTTAAGGCAGCTGCAGTGAAAACAAAGGAACTGGAGGATGATGCTGTAGCAGCAAGACGAGCACACGTAGAATGTAAATACACTACAGAAGTCATGCAGGTAAAGTTTTGATTAAATATTTGGTAGAAGTTTGCAGTAAAATAGAAGATGAACTTGGAAAGGTGCAATCTTCCAAAAATGTTAAGACTTCCTTGCTCCAGGGGAAACACTGATTTTTTGCAATGATTGTCAAGACTGTAAAAGGTAATAGAAAAATATCTCCTTGATTTCCAGGGAACCATCAAGTTCATAGAATCAATAGTCAAATAAAATGTCACATTCTTGTGTTTTACAATTCAAAGGAGCATTGAAAGTGTGAGGGAAAAGGAAATGTTTCACAATAGTTAAACTGCTAAAATATTCTGTCCTATATCTTTGGAATGGGCACTTAGGTAATTTCAGATAGAGTGCATTCACCCAGCTTCTCTAGGTGTGAGATATTAATGCATCCTGAGACTGCACTTCCAAATGTAACTATTCAGAGTATATTTCAGCTATTAAATCTGCTGTTACCAGAAAAGTTTGAATATATGAAAAAATGCGATATGCATACTTGAATATTAAATTTTTGTATTACTAAACTGTGTCACACAGGGTTTGATCCATTGAAGCAATTAGGGTTTATTAAAAAAAAAAGTGAAAAACCCTGTAAGATGATTGTTGAGTGATCTTGTACTGACTAACGAAGCCTTCCTAGTGGATTTTTGAAGAATTAAATGAGAAAATAAAAGGGAATTTCATCTTTTTTTTCTGGTTTTCTGAGGAACACAAGCATTGCCACTTCTTCAGTCAGTTATTTTCTTATGACCTTCTCTAAGTACAGGCATTTGGATTTCTGAAGTGATGATTAAATAAATTGTGATGATTCAGGTTCTTTTATTCCCTCTCTACTTTTACAACATACAAAGGAGCTGGAAAAGTAACATTCCGTGAAGTTAGAGATTTATCTTTTATGGGTGAAGAGCTCAGAAGGTTTTCTTCCTTGTTTATGTACATGAACAAGCTCCACATGAGCTTTGCTCTGAGTGCAAGTGTAGCTTTTACTGTTAATCCCACCCTTTTATGACTCTACTTCATGAATAGAATTCCCCTGGAAAACTTCTGTAAAATAAATAATGGAAAACAGGAAAATCCAAACACCATGCACGGAGAACAAAATGTGCTTTTGGTTAGCATATCTATTTCTTTCTGTTTTGAGCTCTATGTATTAATCCATTTTTATGTGTGTTAAATGCTTTCTAATTCCATATAGAATTAATAGAAGATATTCACCTATAAAAAGCAGAACAGAACAGTGAACAGCATTCAAGACCATGGTAGTCTTTCCTAACTTCCTTTAACTGCAGTCTTATCACTTGGTAGTTGAAAATTCAAGAACTCGAAAGTATTTTGAATGAAGAGTAATGTGGTAGGAGAGAAGATTTTCCAGAAGGGATAGCAAGGGAAGATTTCAGAGAGCCAGTAAATGCACCTGAGACAGGGAAGAAAGTTTAAGTTTCCTTTTGAAGCCATTGCAAAATGGCAGTAGACAGCCTCAGTACAACTCACAGTTTACAGTCCCTGCATTTTTCAGTCAGCAGAAAATCTGGTGCAATGTGCCAAACCAAACTAAAGGTTCAGAACCTGGCAGTCCATTAATAACAGGCCCATATCAGTAACCAAAGGTATTGTGAATGGTACAGATAATAACTAGCTTGTTACAGTTTATTTGCCAAACCAAAAATTTTGAAAATCATAGTTATGGTTAGGTCCAGCCTGCAGCAGTGGTTGGGGTGAGTGTAGGAAAAGATATCCAGCAGGTCTAGAAAAGATGGCTTTTCTATATACACTGATATTATTATGAAAACATTGTTTTCCACTTCAGTGAGTCAGTTGGATCTCTAAGACTCCTGTCAAGAAGTTCAAGTGTATCATTTATAGTGGATAATCTTTGTTTTCAACTTTTGAATGGCTGTAGAAAGCTTTAAATGGTTAAAAAATATTGAAATGAGTGAGAGCAGAGGAAATCTCTTGGGATGTTTCCTGGCCAGCACAGTCTGCTGTGCCTGTGGTAGCAGAACTTGGGTGAGCTCTCTTTCAGCCTAGAGCTATATGGCTCTGTATACTCAGGTGTTTATGTTGACTTACTCACAGAAGGAGCAGTGGAGAAGGAAAAAAATGTTTTCCCACAAGAAGGGAAGTTTGTGGCCTGAGCAACTCATTCAAGATTCATGATTATGAACATGTTTTTAGTAAAATACTAAAAACTTGAGCTGGAAAAGCCTTTGTCATCCTGTGCAAACATCAATTTGAAGCAAGCCTTTGGCTTTCCTGATGCCATGCCTAAATACTCAGGCAATCTTTTAAAATTCTTCCTTGGATTCCCTTTCTGTGCTTCTGTGTCCTTTATGCTATTGTTTGGCCTTGGAGTTTTCTCTTCAGCTGCCTGTTTAGTCATGCCGGGCTCTTGATATATCTGTTTTCCTGACTGACACAGTACAAGAACAGATTAAAATTCTGGGCAGTCTGCTTTAAAAGCCAGACAGAGTAGAGTCAGGCATGTGGAAACCTTAAGAGCAAGAACTGTACTTGAAATCAGCATTGATGATGCAAGATGTGACATGGTCTCTCTGAAGACAGCTGTTGTGTTAATTAAAATATGAAGAATTCTGTTTGATATATGTAACTTTGAGGCCACATCCAGATAATCTTATGAATTGCATGTCACGAGGCTTGGTAACTGAAAATATTACCTCTTGAAAAATCTTTCTTAGAAGGAATATAAATTTCTTCATTCACTTAAGAAAGGCAAGCAGCTTCAGAATCCATGTGATGTGCTAAAGTCGTATCTGCCAAATCCATTGATTATCCTTTAAAAGAACACAGGGCATTTGACAAAAGCAATTTTGGTTAAAGTATCTTTTTTGTGGAAACTTTCCAGTTCATGAAGACAGCGTTTATCCTCCGGTGTGCAATAGAAAGACCAGGTTGAGGAAAGGAAGAGAGCTCAAGATTCCAATGCAACAGTAGTGGCTCCTCCAGACAGCTTCAGCCTGCATGAAGGCTCAATAGTAAGGAAAAAGAGCCTCCATAGGAAATAGTAAATTGAAAAAAAAGCTCAATAGTAGGGAAAAAAATGTGGCACACTGTTGCAGTGTGATGCCACTTCCTGTTTCACCTATCCCAACCCCTCAGGTGTGCCAACCTTTCCTTTCCCCTTTTGCCCTCCTGCTAAGAGCTGTCCATCAATCTTAACATTCCAGCAGGGTCATGGTGTGGTTGGCAGAAGTTCAAAAGATGCCCCTCAGGTCCGGGCTCATTGGCCTGTCCAAGTGTCTGTATCCCTTGAGCCTTCCCCTCCTCACACCTGGTTGGTGCCTCACCTGTCCCTTCCCCTCCCCCTGTCCCCGGGACTTAAAAGGAGATGGGACCATGCGGTTGGGATTCTACTGGGAGCTCTTTCAGAGGTCTACCATCCTGGAATAAAACTCTGGATTAAAACTCTGTGATAGAATCCTCTCCTTTCTCTTCACCGTCGCCTGAACCTTTTCCACCAGAGGTAGACTGAGTTTCTACTATGCCTGGATTTGTTGCGAGTGCGCAGCTGCAGCACCCAGCCGGCCAAAGGTATCTCTGAGGTGAAACACCACAGCTGCCGCCTTTGGTCCAGCAGCAAGGGTCAGATGGGGCCAGGCACGTCCCACCCAGAAATATTGGATTAATCATCTATAGCACACATTGCTTAGGTTTTTTAAAACATACTGTCAAAATATTTACTGAGGTGAGGATTTGCTGCATTTGCTGTGCTGAGCTGTAGAAGAATTCTGCCATTCTCTCACCCTTGTCGTTATTATGTTACCTTTAAAAAAATTTACTACATGAATAAATGTAACCAATGCCTTGGAGAAGCTAATTTGAAAATATTTTTTAAGTATGGGTAGGATGTACTGGCATTCCTAATTAAGGCATTTTGTAGATATTGATGATCATTTCATGTGAAGAATGTTCTTTCTACCTAATGTTTTTGTCAAGTTTCATTAGCTATCATTGTAGAAATGTTTATTTCTATTTCATACACCCTTTTAGTTTTAGTGCAAGTATTTGACTGTAAAAATTGCTTGAAAATTGTTTCAAGCTTTCAGGTGGAAAAGCAGAGAGGATTTTTTGTTGTTGTTTTGTTTTTTACTTGTTTTGCTGTGGATTTGGCACATTGGATGTATTTTGCTGGATTATTTTCTGAACACTTTCTCCTTTTATATGACCACTTTGGGCTTTTCTACTCTCTTTACCCAGCTACACCTTGAATAACACGTTTGCCATCTTTTTGCATAGCAGCAGGGACAAAGGAAAGTTGTCAGCATGTTTAGAAAATCTCTCCTTTCATTGTGTGGTTACATTTGCTCTCTTTCTACTCTTAGCAATATACTTTTTTTTTTTTTTTGATAGTGGCTTGGAAACTTCTCCTCTTTCTCTGTCAGAGCTCTGAGCATGAAAGGTGCATGAGGTCTGTTCCCTGTGGACAGGAGCAGAGACCTGCATCAGAGAGTCTTCAGATTTGTGGGTGTCTTTTGTTCACTTGATGGAGTTAGTCCACACTTTGTCTTAGTGCTGTCCACTGCCCAGGCAGATCTGTCATTCATAAACTGGAGGCAAATAAAATCAGGATCTTCTTTTTTCTTTCTGGGAGAATAACAGCTTCTTGCATGCAAGCATTAATGTATTAAAAGACATTTGCTGGCCTACTTAGCCTGAAAAAGTAATTTCATCAGGCACAAAAGGAATACATACAGAGAAAAGCAGCTGTCTGCCCTAACTACAGGCATTAATGATTGCTATTTCTAACTACAAAACACAATTGCAAGCTGAAAATATTCTACTGAAGTGCTTGCTTCCAAACGTGAAGTGCTTGCTAGCTGTTGCTGTGGTAGGAGTTTTCCTTTTTATTTGTATTCCTCGGTACAGCAGTGTTCTCTCTGAAAGTGGAGAATGTTATTACTATTGTTAAGTCAATTCCTAAAACTGTCTGGTGGGCAGACAGGTGGTGTTGGACCTTCTTTGAGCTGTCATGGTGTTGGTGGATTGTTTTCAGAAATCAGGAGTCCATTTGCAATTGATTATCATGGAAATTTCCCTCCTACCACGCTTTTTGTTTCAGACATCTAATTCTGTAATTGCTTTCTAGAAGAGATATTTTAATCACGATTATTACTAGCAACTTTTGCTCCTTTAATGCATCCTTTGAATGGCAAAGCTAAATTTTCTTTTCATTCTTGTCTAGGTAAAAACCACGTAGTTATTGTTTCTTCCATTATTGTTTGGTTTGTTTCTGTCGCAGGAATGTGAAGAAACGGCGCAGAAAAAGAGGCGAAACTCTATGGCCTCGAACAACTCTCTGACAAACTGGCCCAGGAAAACAATTCCTTGAAGAATTCATTATTAGATGCTTTCAAGGCACGCTCATCCCTGCTGGCAGCCTGTGCGCTGCTGTCAGGGGCCCTGTGCTCTCTCTACGGCCGACTGTGCGCCACGTCTTGCCAAAGAGACATTCTCCAGGAACGGGTGAACCAGCACCAACTCCTGAACCACAAGATCGTCAGCCTCCTTTATGCTCTCCCTGCTGTGGTGGAAAGAAACCAGGACGAAGGCAGGCTGAGGCAGAGAAGAGCCAAGAACCTGGTTTATGCGTTCCGAAGAGCTGTGATCGCAGTTCTGGCTGCTAACAGGCTGAGGGCTCTGGCCCGATATTCTTGTACCTTTTTCGTCTGGACAGATGGATGCAGAGGAAGCTCTGGAATTCAAGTTTGTCTGGGAGAATCCAGAGGCAGGCATCCTGTGCCATGTAAGTGAAACGTTCTTAAAATGTTATGTCAAATTACATGCTTAGGGAATAACAAAGAGGAATAATATTTTTCTTGCTGGGGCATAAAGACATATTTAATGACATTTTGACAAATGTTATTTAAAGATTTTACATTTTTATATTGCTTGATGAATTTATTTCAATCTAAGAGGAAATGCCGAGTCTTATGTTAAACACTGCAGGTAAAATTGCAATTATGCACATGAACTCAACACTATCTGGTGGTTTTGATATTTGTGTTATGGATTTCAGAATTAGGTGCTACAGCATCTTCTCTGTGGTAAATATCTTGCAATGTTCCTCTTTTTTTTTTTTTTGGAAAAGGTATTTCCTCTTTTTTTAAAAATAATTTTTCATATTTATTTCCTAAAAATCCACAAAAATTGCTTTCTGATTCAGGTAAAATATTAGCATAGGATTTCAAAATTTTCTTTCGAGATTATGTCTAGATTGCCCCTTTCTGTTGCCAGACCAGTTTAGATTTCCCTCTACAATGATAAATGGTATTAAAAATGTTTTCCAAATTACAAGATTACAAGATTCATCGACTTTTTTTTTTTTTTTTTTTGAGTCATTCTGGAAGCACGCTTAAAACAGTCTAAATTGTCCTGACTAATTTCTTGTTTATATGCTTATTTTTGGTTAATTTCTGAAACAGCTGGAGGCAGCAGTGTGCCATAGTTTAGTGATTTACTTATCCTGCTAGCTGCAATTCTGTTTCACAGGTTTTGCAGAGGAAGGAGTTGACTGTATTGAAGCACTTCACTGGTTGTCTAGCTCTAACCTCTATACCGCATTCCATCTCAGAACTGCAGGGTGTTCTCAGCAACCAAGGTAATTTTAACTGTATATTGTTGTAGCAGAAATATAGTTAAAAAAGAAATAAGTCAGGGTGGTCATATCATTTCCATTTTTATGATTTTATCTAAACTCTTCTGGATCATAGCTCTGAAGAGATATTTCTGATATTTATGATAGATGCCTTTGACTAGAGGTTATATCCTGAGCTAGTCAATACAAATTGTAGTGGGGCTGTTTCCCTGTAAGAGTAATTTGATTACAGGGTAAAATAGTTACTCTTCTCTACATTCTCTGAATGATCACATTTCTGTACTGTTGGAACAGATTCATTTTCTTAAGCAGCTGATAGGATATTTTATCCTTTCACTAAATAGAGTCATGGAAGCTGAAGGCTGGAGAGTGTTTCTGGACTTTATTTACAGTGAGAACTGATACACGTTCCCTTGGTTCATCTGCATTGCTGCCATCCCTGGTTCTTTATTAACCTCTACTTTTAGAATCCCCACATTTTTGTCCCAGAAGAAAGGATCTTAGAAGAGGGATAATTTATGTGAATAAAGGGAAATAACAGGACAAAGACAAGATGATGCATTTTCCAGAAGCCTAAACCCTAAATTGGTATCAAAGTTGCCATTGAATCAAATGGGTTTGGATTCACTTTCAGGCCCTTTCTTCTTTGATCATGCTGTTGTCAAGAAATTGAATTCATATCCTTTAAAAGCAAAGTTGGAACAGTGGTTCAGATTCAGCATTCTGTATTTCAGAATATTTACAGCTTCCATCCTGTAGAAGTGAAAAAGAACGTGATCTTATAAGAAACGGGAACTAATAACCTGCTCGATGTTTCCTTTGTTTTGTTTTTTTCTTCAAGATTCGGAGCTCTGGCTTTCTAGTAACTTGCTGATCGGCACAGCCAGGAACTGCTTTGCACAACTGATGGACAACCTGAGCGTTCTGATGGAGACAGTTCAAGGGAACGCTCGTGGGTGCAGAGCCTACCTGGAGAGGGACTCGCTGATAGAGAGGCTGGCTCGTGGCCTCCAGAGAGTAAATGCCAGGCCCTGGAAGCTGGATTCCATGACAGACTGCCCAGCACAGTAAGCAGATTGACAGTCCTCCTTCATGGAAACAGAAGGTTTACAGCAACGGTGAAGCTCCCTTGATAGCAGCATTTCTTTGGTTTCAGGCTGGTGATGAGTCCAGGTCAGTCAAGTGCTACTATATGGACACTCCACAAGTTGATTTGTCACACATTAGGGTGTGAATAGGTCTTTTCTTTTATTGAGAAAGAAGTCTTGGAGGAGGTTTAGTGTATCCAAGTAAATGATTTTTTTTCAAGTTCTATCAGATCTGTATTAGCTTATAAGAACAAATTGGCTTGATGTAAATGTTAAGGTTGCTTTTTATTATTGTTTTCTACTTTCTCATGTTTACCATCCTTTCTTTCAGTAAAGATAACCTTCTTCCCTTTAACCAAAATGAAAGGATAAACTCTTTCTCTCATAATCTTCATAGTAAACCTTAGGTGAAAAGAGTAGTTCCTTGTAAACAGAATTTGCAGTAACCCTTGGTAGGTGACAAGTTCAAACTTTTGTCCGTGTGCACGTCTTTTAGAGATGGAGGAAAAAATTATGTTTTCTCTTCTTTTTCTTGAGTCTTAAGTCTTATTTATTTGATTGCTAAAATAGCAGATTTTATAGCCCATCAACTTGTTTCTGTTTGCTGACAGAGAAACATAGCAAGAAATATTTGCAGCAAGAAATATTTGAATTTTCACAAAGGCTTCATGCAGCAGAGGTAGAGTCCAACTCACTGCACCTGCAGCTTCAGAATGCAGATGGGCTTTCACCAAGATGCAAAAAGATGCTGAAAAACCTCACAGACTGCAGAGCCAATTAAGTGAAGTTCAGCAAGTAAGTGCATTTGACTTGGAGGCTCTCTTGCTTAAAAGAGATTCTCCTTTCTACACATTTTTTGATTTGTGTTCTTTTGGAAAACAAGCATAAAAATGATTTCCTTTCAGCAGAATTTTCCAGAAACCTTTGCAGCAGTGCGGCCGTGAGAAAGACGTCCAGCTAGCCGACCAGCACCGCTAGCAGCACAGGGGGCACTTGTCCCCATAGCTCAGCTTCGGGACAGCGCCTAAGGCCAACGCCCAGCTTGCGGCTGTCAGCGTTGCCTTGTGCAGGACGAGACCGTATTGAAGCTGCAACCAGCGCAATAAGAGGGCAGACTCCAACTGCGGTTTTATCCAGGGTTTAGGGAATCCCAGGGGAACCAGCAGGAGAAGACGGGGAGGAGGGGATTTACAGCGGTTTTTAAAAGCTGGAGGAGGTAAGGGAGGTGCCAGACCTAGCACCAATAGAGACACAGTGGGGAGTGGGATCCGAAGGACTGACACAGGGAAAACACCAATGGGGACAATACTGAGGAGGGGCCCCGGTCCTTGGACCAATCATCCAACTCTCCAGCTGGAAACTTCTAGCAACAAAGGTGGGGATGGAGAGTGACTGGCAGGGCACCGGGGAGGGGTTGAGAAAAGGATACATTGGTTTCTGGGGAACCCGGGGAGGAGTTTTAAAGGATACAATACCAACTGGGATGGAGTTAGGGTGACAGACACTAACAGGGATGGGAGGGAGAACCGGGGCAGAACCATTGTCAAACAAGGGGGGAACAGAACAGTCCAACTTTAACTGAACACGGTACAACAAACCTTGCCTGGAAATGTCACTAAACCAAAAGACAGATTTATTTAGAAATAACTCCAGTGGAAAAGGGATATCTTTTGATTTGTAGAAGGAGGTATCCTGTATAAATTAGAGTTTGGTCTTCAGCAATCCAGGTTCTCCCATTTGTTGGAAATGTTGATCTGATTTATGTATCCTAAAAGAAGATTTCACTTCAACAGAGTAAAGTCAGTGGGAATGGGGGTATTCAATAGGAATGTTAATGAAATATAAAGATAGCAGTTGAAACTCTGTATGGATGTTGATGAATGTTATAATAAATACAATACAAATTTTAGCGGGTCTGTTTCCCTGAAGAAGTAACTTTATGGCAGGGGGAGAAAAAGCTTTTGTCTATATTCTCAGTAGCACAAAATTCCCCTGAGTCTTTTGCTGTTGCTGATTGACTTACCGAGACACTGTGGGTTCCCTAACCTGAAGCCTAGTTGGTAGAACCTGTCAGGGTGTCCCAATCCAAACACTTCTAAGCAAAGAATATCTGCTAGATGATGTCTCACCCATTGTCCTTCCTGTTCTTAGCTAGTGAAATGGATTTTTTTTTTTAACTCAAAAATCTCTAATCATCTTCAGTTTTGTTCTTAACAGGTTTTATGGCCTTAGTCGTTTTGGACTGTTAGATGAAAATTATCCCATATTAGATTGTAGTTGAAATGCAGATGACAACTTTCTTTGAAGAATTATTTCTTTCTGGAACAGTTTTTGGACAGGAAGAACAGTCCACAAAGGTGTTTACAAGGGTTAAGAAGCTCTCCACTAAAATTCTGAACATTGATCTGCATATTTTTCCTTCTAAATACTGAAGTTTTGCATCCCACGGTGCTAATTAGAATAGAATAATGAATGCCAAGACTTTCCATGAATGTTCTTTATAAAAAACACAGCAATTGACTGGTCTGCCATTTTATTGGTCAGTGATGTCTTCATGTTAAAAAAACCTCAATACTAATCATAAGCATGCATTTATTTTAGAATTTGATATGTTTGCAAGTGGAACTCACTCAATGGTAGGGAAACCACTGAATATAGTTACAGAATCAGGCACAACTTGTTTCTCTTTCCAGAAAATCAACCAAGACAATGTACAGGAGGAGTTACAAAATGCTTTGCAGCGTGAGCATGAGGCACAATTGCTTTTACAAGAACAGCAGTGACGGGTTCAGGAGCTGAGCAATAGACGGGAATCACACTCATTTACTGAGCTAAGTAAAAGCCGCATATCTCCGACGGTAAGATTATTCTTCTGGAACAGTCACCAGAGTATTACCTTTCATGAAAGAAGCCAAATAGCGCAGTCCTTGTGTAAATAAAATAACAGGAGTAAATACACACAGACTACTCAGTCTGCTGGAACTTTAGTCTACTGAGAAAACACTTCAAAGACTCCTTTTTAAAATTTTTTTAAGCTGTTTTTTTTAACAGTTTAAGAAAAAGTCTTCAATGGGGGTTTGTTTGGGGTTTTTTTTTGCCTGCAATCATTTTGCATTCTAAAGCACATTTATATATAGCAAATAAACTAGGGGGGTTCTGAGTCAGTAATGCTTTTGCTAGGAAATTCATAAAACCTTAGGATGCAGTGGTCCAAATGTACTTCACAATCAATTTGTCTCCCACGTTGGTCAGTAGCCAGTGGCATAAAGTGAAGTTTCTTTGGGCGACAGAGTAACTCTGCTCTCTGTCTGCTGGCAGGGCCTCCCTGATACAGCGGAGGAGCTGAGGAAAAGAGACCAAGTTCTGGATCAACAGGAGAAACTCCTGAAAGACATGGAGAAGGACCAGAAGCGGCTGTGGGAGACTCTCCAGGAGGCAGAACGTGCCCTTGAACAGGGAGTAAAGTGAGCCCTGGGGCCAGGGGGATGTCACTTAAAATGAACAAAAATTGAAATTCCTACTTCCATGGGCAGGGCTTTACTTCCCTGGACAGCGTAAGGTTAGAAGAGAAAAGTACATCTGTCTCTTTTGTTTTGAAATTCAGGGATAGTCTTCTAAAACCAAAAGTGTTAGTTCAAAATACTAGGTCATACATTTTATGCAGTTATCCCATAGTAGTGCTTCAAATTCTGGGTGCTGAAATAACTGGCAAACAAAATACCTGTGCTATCTAACTGATCTGACAAGATCTCTTTGGCACATCCTTAAAGTTCTGTTTATTTAAGAAATGATTGTTTGGTCTCTGTGTTTCCATGCCAACTTTTTATAGGCAGATACAATTTATTTATAGTAAATACAGAAGCATCAGCTAGGGGACAGGTCTTCACTGCCAAAGGGACTGAAACCCATTTTGGATCTCACCTTTCCTGTGGTACAAGATAGATCTTCCAGCTGATTTCAGGGAGTTTTGGATTTAGACCTAATCCCCACACCACTTGCAGGGGAGTGGTGGAGGTGGCAGAAAAGGCTCAGGCACTGGGCTTGAAAAGACTGGTTGTCAAAAGGAGCCCCCTTGACTTGAAGGAGCTTATTACTCATCAATTCTTATGCCATATGAAAAAAATAAGTCTTTGCAGACTTTGTTGTCTAATACTTTTCATAGTATGAAGTATGTGTTACGAATATTGTTGCTCCATGGCTAGGATCTAAAAAAATTTTAGTTAATTAAAATTTCTCATCATACCTGGGATCATTCAACCTCTGAAGAGCAATATCTGAGAAGCTTTAAGGGTTTTTTGCACCAGGGAAATAATGCAATTTGTATGGTCATCAATGAAATGTTTAACAAGCTAATTAAAATGACAACTGTTATTTGGTATGAGTTGATCAAAGCAGGTGTCACCTGCAGAAAGATTTGTTCCAGAAAGCTTGCCCTTTTCATCCTGCCCCAATCTATTTTGGGCATTTCAGTAGAGATCATTCCTTGTGGCCATATATATATATATCCAGAAAAGATTATTCTAATGTGAAGTAACTTTAAAATTGGCTTTATTTTTTTTTTTTTCTCCTGTATATAGCAGCTGAATATCAACAAAGAAAGCTACTCTTCCTCCAATCTTACAGCAACTCTTCACAACTAATAGGTTTTATTTCTCCCTTTGGAATATAAACAAAAGAGATTAAATAAACAGAATCTGTCTGTGGTTTCCAATACAAGAATATCATTCCATCCTGCTAGAGACTTTTTATGACCTCTATATCCAAGCCATGATGATTGTTCATTGATAGGCCTAATTATCTCAATTTTAATTGCTTATCCTCAACAGAAGCATCTTTCATATGGAAATGCACCAAATAGTGGTACATGAACTATATTTAGGGTTGGCATTGGAAATATGAAAAAGAGAGAAAATCCTAACAGTTTGGATTATCAACAATTATTTTACAGGACATGGCAGCCATCAAGTAGCAGAAGATTAATTTCTACATTGGTAGAGTTTCAGTTCCATAAAGTTACTTCATTGTTCTTGTTTTGTTTTGTTTTCTTGTATTTTCTTTTATAATAGAGACAAAGAGTTGATCATTAGTCAAATGAAAGCTGTGGAAGCTGCCCTGAATGAGGTAAGATTTTGACGTGTTGCCTCTGATTTGTGTTTCTAAATCAGCTAAAGCCTTAGAACTGCTTATTCAGTTGTCATCAGCAGAATTTGGGGTTCTTTGATCATGGGGCAACTTTTACAGCACCTGCTCTACTGGAACCAGATGGGCTCTGTCTCTCTGTTAAGGACAGAAGGTTTTTAGCTCATGAACCGGCAGAATTTGTTGAAAGGACATGGAACTAGGTCTGAAGGGGAAAGGGGATGCATCTGGGCTGTCTGGAAGCAGGCCCAAGGGTGGTAAGCCTGAGACAGGAGTGAAATCAGCAGCCCAGCTGAGGTGCAGGTATACCAATACACGCAGCACAGGTTACAAACAAGAGCTGGAGGCCACGGTCCAGCAGCAAAGCTATGATGTCATTGACCATCACAGAAATGTGGTGGCACGACTCACGTGGCTGGAGTGCTGCACTGGATGGCTCCAAGTCCTTCAGGAGAGACAGGAAAGGGAGAAGAGGTGGAGGGGTGGCCCTTTATATTAGGGAATATATAGGCCAACAAGGCTGACATCCTACTGGGAGTCTGTTCTTGTCCACGCAACCAGGAAGAAGTGGTGGACAATTCATTCTATAAACAGCTAGAGAATGTTTCTGGAGCATCAGCCATTTTTCTTGCTGGCAATTTCAACCTGCCGGACATTTTTTGGGAACTCAACACAGCTGAAAAAAGGCAGTCCAGGAAATTTTTAGAGTTTGCAGAGGACAACTTTTTGTCAGAGCTGGTGGGTGAGCCCACCAGGGGAGGGACAATGTTAGATCTGTTATTTGCAAATAGAGACGGACTGGTGGGAGATGTGGTGCTTGGAAGTCACTTAGGCTGCAGTGATAATAAAATTATAACATTCTCTATATTTGGTTAAATCAAGAGGAACATTAATAAGACTTTCACATGTGACTTCTGGAGGGCAGATTTTGTCCTGTTCAGGACACTTATTCAGAGAGTTCCTTGGGAAGCAGCCTTTAAAAACAAAGGAGTTCAGGAAGGGTGGGTGAGCTTCAGAACAGAGATCTTGAGGGCACAGAAACAGACTGTCCCTGTGTGCCGAAAGATGAGTCGATGAGGCAAACGTCCAGCCTGGATGGGCAAGGAGATTTTGGAGGAACTTAGGAATAAAATAAAGGATGTATTCTCTTTGGAAGGAGAGTCATGTCTCTCAGGAAGTATTTAAGGGGGCTGCTAGAGCATGTAGGAAAAAATTCAAGAGGCCATAGCTCAGTTTGAACTTAAAGTGTTGACTTTTGTAAAGAATAATCAAAAATGCTTTTGTAAATAGATGAATGGTAAAAGATCATTTGGTAAATGGTAAAAGAAGAGTAAGATCAACCTTTGTTGTTTATTGGATGCAGAAGGGAACTTAGTAGCTGCAGATGAGGAGAAGGCAGAGGTGCTTAACACCTTCTTTGCCTCAGTTTTTAGTGGGAAGGCTTGCCTTCAGGACAACTGTCCTCTTGGGTTGCTCGATGATATCGGGGAGCAGAATGGTCCCCCCATTATGCAAGAGGAGGCAGTCAGAGAACTGCTGAGCTGCTTGGACCTTCACAAATCCATGGGTCCAGATGGGATCCATCCCAGGGTGATGAGAGAGCAGGCAGATGAGATTGCAAAGCTGCTCTCCATCATTTACCAACAGTCCCGGCTCACTGGTGAGGTTCCAGAAGACTGGAAGCTGGCCAATGTGACACCCATTGATAAAAAGGGTGGAAAGGAGGATCCTGTTAATGATAGGCCAGTCAGCCTGAACTCAGTCCCCAGTAAGGGGGACTGAAGAGTTTATATGCAGTGTCATCACACAGCGCTTACAGGATGGCCAGGGTATCAGACGGAGCCAGCAGGAGTTTAGGAGGGGTAGGTCATGTTTGACCAACCTGGTCTCCCTTTATGAGCAAGTGACCCACCTGGTCGATGCAGAAAAGGCTGTTGATGTTGTGTGCCTGGACTCCAGCAAGGCCTCTGGCACTGTCTCCAACAGCACACTCCTGGAAAAGCTGCAGCCCACGGCTTGGGCAGGAGCACTCTGTGCTGGGTTCAGAGCTGGCTGCATGGCCGGGCCAGAGAGTGGTGGTGAACAGTGCTGCATCCAGCTGGCAGCCGGGCACCAGGGGTGTCCCTCAGGGCTCTGTGCTGGGGCCAGCTCTGTTCAGTATCTTCACTGATGCCATGGATGAGGGGATTGAGTATTTCATGAGTAAGTTTGCAGACGACACAAAGCTGGGAGTGTGTGTTGATCTGTTGGAGGGTAGGAGGGCTCTGCAGAGAGATCTGGAATGGTTGGATGGATGGGCAGAGTCTAACAAGGTGAAGTTTAATAAATCCAAGTGCTGAGTCCTGCATTTTGGCCACAATAAGCCCCTGCAATGTTATGGGCTGGGGATGGTGGGGCTGGACAGTGCCCAGGCAGAAAAGGACTTGGGGTTACTGTTTGACACTGGCTGAACGTGAGCCAGCAGTGTGCCCTAGTGGCCAAGAAAGCCAATAGCATCCTGGCCTGGAGCAGGAATGGTGTGGCCAACAGGAGCAGGGAGGTCATCCTTGCCCTATACTCAGCGCTGGTGAGGCCACACCTTGAGTGTTGTGTCCAGTTCTGGGCCCCTCAGTTTAGGAAGGATCTTGAGATGCTTAAGGGCATCCAGAGGAGGCAACGAGGCTGGTGAGGGGCTGGGAGCACAAACCCTGTGAGGAATGACTGAGGGAGCTGGGGGTGCTCAGCCTGGGGAAAAGGAGACTCAGAGGCGACCTTATCACTCTCTCCAACTTGCTGAAAGGTGGTTGCAGTCAGGTGAGGGTTGGTCTCCTTCTCCAGGCAGCAACTGACAGAACCCAAGGGCACAGGCTCAAGCTGCACCAGGGGAAATATAGGTTTGATAATAGGAAAAAGTTTTTTACAGGAAGGGTGATAAAGTACTGGAATGGTCTGCCCTGGGAGGTGGTGGAGTCACCATCCCTGGATGTGTTTAAAAAAAGACTGGATGTGGCACTCGCTGCCATGGTTTAGTGGTTTAGTGGAGGTGTTAAGGCATGGGTTGGACTCAAGGATGTTTAAGGTCTTTTCCAACCTAGTCATTCTGTGAATTCTGTAAATACTGTGGGTTTTTTCTATTGGTCCCCATTTGTTTGGCTATTTTAGGGTTGGGTTTTGTTGTTTTATTTTTTTCCTTGGTTGCTTCGTTGCATGGATTTTTTTTGTTTTGCAAAGTAGCAGTAGTGAGTGGGTGGGTGTTTGTTTTTTAACTTTTTAATTTTTTTTTCTTATTTTCTCCCTTTCCCCTCCTCTCCCAAAGGCTTCTTCCTTTCATTTTATTATAAAGCATTAATGGTTTTTAATCATCTTCTGCAAAAATAACCATTTCAGTTCTATGCATTTCCTTGCTTTTAAAAATTTACCTTCTCTAAACAGATATATTTCAGATTAGCTTTGGACCCAGACCACCCCATACACCTACTATTCCTGTTCCAGCTCCTGCAGGTAAGTCTGCTTGTCAAACAATTGTAGTCCCCTGGATGTGGGTTCCTAGCCAGCATCTCCCTTCATGCTGCAGAGCCTCTGTAGGCCAATAAAGCAACTTAAGGGAAAACATAAAGGAGCATTAAAACTAGTGCTAACAAAATTGTTGTGATACGTTTTAGAGAAGAAAAAGGGGATGGTGAAAGCTAACGCAGGGTTTAAAATCATTACTGGAATGTATTTTCTGTTAGTTCCTATGTCCTTGTGGGTTTGTTTTGGTTTTAGTTTGGGTTTTGATGTTTGGTTGGTTGCTTGGACATTTTTTAGTGTTGGGGAGTGGTTGAGGTGGGTAGGTGGGTGGGTGTTTGATTTCTGAATTTTTTCTTTTCCAACTTTCTTTCTTTCTTACTTTCTTTCGTTCTTTCTTTCATTCTTTCTTTCGTCCTTCCTTTCCTTTTTTTTAATAACCAAAGGGTTTTTCATTTCTATCTGATATAAAACATTCACAGTTTATATTAGGCTTTCCTTTCAAACATAACCATTTCCAAACAGTTCATTTCCTTAGTTTTTAAATCTTACTTTTACTCAACAGATATTTTCCAGCCTCGTGGTTCACCCCAAGCAGCTCGTGCAATTCTGGCCCCTGTTCCTGCTCCTGCTCCTGCTCCTGCTCCTGTTCCTGTTCCTGCTCCTGCTCCTGCTCCAGCTCCTGCACCGGCTCCTGCTCCTGCTCCTTTTCCTGTTCCCATTCCTGTTCCTGCTCCAGTTCCAGCACTTGTTCTTCCTCCTGCTCCTGCTCCTGCTCCAGTTCCTGCTGTCATTCCTGCTCCTGGCCCTGGTCCTGGTCCTGCTGGTAAGTCTCTTCTTCAGGAGAGCAGTCACTGTAGTCACTGGGACGTGGGCTCCTAGCCAGCATCTCCCTTCATGCCGCACAGCTTCTGGAGGCAAATACAGCAACACTTTAGTGTAACGATAAGGGAGCAATTCACCTAGCGCAAAGAGAAATGTTCTGAGACATTCTTCAGACAAGAAAGGGGTGGTGTAACTAACACAGGGATTAAAATTTTTGTCTGACTGTAGAAGTTTGTTTCCTTGATTAAAAAACACACCCTAGAAATTATAAGGACGAGGGGTAAAATATGTCTGTGAGAATATGTAGAACTTCAAACAACGTCTGATTACAATACTTCCTAGGGCAAGATACTTGTGCTAATGTCCTTTGTCTTTTAAGGATTAATATAGAATATTTCTATGCCATGTGTTTCAAATAAGCAATTAAGACAAGGAGCAAACAGTTGTTAAGTACTTCAAATATATACTCTTGTCAGAGCTATTTAACAGCAAATGTAGATTCTCTCCTGATTTGTTTATATTCATTTTTTTTTATTCCAGCATTCTGGGGACGTCCAAGGTTCAGAACCTATACTCTGTCTGAAACCAACTCAGGCTACAGTAGCATGACAGCCGACAGAACCTACACTGTGTCTGGGAGCGACTCTGTCTTCACTTCGTCACCCAGCAGATCCTATACTTTATCTGGAACCGACTCAGGCCTCCTTAGTATGACAGCCGGCAGAACCTATTCTGTGTCGGGAAGCAGCTCAGCCTCCAGTACGTCACCCAGCAGATCCTATAGTGCGACTGAAGGCCGCTCACCCAGCAGATACTGTACTGCGTCTGGAAGCAAGGTATTTGCCGGTGTGTCATCCTACAGAACTTTTACTGTGGTTGGAACCAACATTGCCTTTCCTTCCAACTAAAACCATTTCCATTCCTTACATCTCCTTGCTTTTTCAAATTTACCATATCTGAAGCAAATTCACTTTCTCTGGACAGACTCCTCACAGCGTCTCCAAGGACCTATTTCACCTAATGATCTTCCTCCTGCTATTGATTATAAGTCTGCTGGTGAAGAAATTATTGTCATTTGGATGTGGGTTCAGAGCCCACATCCATGGGGAGTGGTAGATGTGGATGTGTGGGTGTTTGCATTTTGATTTTTTTTTCTTTTATTACTTCTTTTAATTGCATGCTTGCTTTCGTTCTGTTTTTTTTTTTTTTTTTTAAATTGCAAAATTTGTTTTCCTTTATTTCTGTTACAAACTATTCATATTCTGCAATAGGCTTTTTTTTCAACCATAACCATTTCCAATCGGTGCATTTCCTTGGTTTGTAAATCCTGTTTTTCCACAAGAGATAATATTCAGCCTCGTGTTTCACCCCAAGCAGCTCGTACACCTCTTGTTTGTCCTGCTCCTGCTCCTTCTCCAAAGTCTCTTTTGCAAGCAATTTTAGTCACTGGGATGTGAGTTCCTAGCCAGCATCTCCCTTCATGCTGCACAGCTTCTGGAGGCCAATCCTGCAACACTTAATTATAAACACAATGGAGCGTTAAACCTAATGCAAACAGAAATGGTGTAATACTTTTTAAAGATGAGAACGGGGATTAAAATTAATGCTGGAGGATTTTTTTTTCCTATGGGTCTTTTATTTGCTTAGATATTTTTTATATTAGTCTGGGTTTAGCTGCTTGGTTGGTTAGATTCTTTTTGGTTTTTCAAAGTGGTCCTTGTCGGTGGGCGTTGTTTAATTTTTGATTTTTTTTCTTTTAGGACTTCTATTAATTGCATTTTTTTAACCAAATCCTTTTTCCTTTCTTTCTGTTTTAAACCATTAACATTTTTGTAATAGCCTTTCCTTTCAACCATAAGCATTTCAGTTCTGAGTATTTCCTTGTTTTTTCAAACTTTTACTCAACAGGTAATTTTCATCCTCCAATTTCATCCTAAGCAGCCAGTACACCTGCTGCTCCTACTTCTCCTGATGCTAAGTCTGCTTTTCAAGAAATGATAGTTTCTTGGATGTGGGTTTCTAGGCAGCATCTCCCTTCATGCTGAACAGATCCTGTAGGTAAATACAACAATCCTTGCTTTTAAACATAATGCAGCAGTAAAACGAGTGCTAACAGAAATGTGAGAGTTTTTAAAGGAGAGAATGGGGATGGTGAAACCTAACACAGGGATTAAAATCACTTGTGTGATTTTTCTTTTGGTTCTCGACTGCATGCAAAATTTTTGTTTTCAGTTTGGATTTGGTTGCTTGGTTGGGTTCTTTGGTTTTGGGGAGTGGTTCCACTGGGTGGTTTGGTGTTAGGTTTTAATTTTTTTCTTTTTTAAAATTATCTCCGCTTTCAACTTTTTTTTTTACTGAAGGCATTTATTTTCTTGATGTGATAAATCATTGTAATAGCCTGCCCTTGCAAACATAACCATTTCAGTTCCATGCATTTCCATATTTTTAAAATTCACCTTCCCTGAAGTACATTTCCTTGCTCTACACAGAATCATTTCAGCTTGTCTTCGTACCCCAAGGACCCATTTCACCTCATACTCCTGATCCTGATGGGAAGTCTGCTTGTCAAGAAATGATAGTCATTTGGATGTAGGATCTTTGCCAGCATCTTCCTTCATGCTGCACAACTTCTGCAGACAAATACTTGATTGTAAACATCATGGAGCAATAACACTATTGAAGACGTTTTGAAATAGCAATTTCTTGCAACGATAACCATTTCAATTCTGTACATTTCCTTGCTTTTACAAATCTACCTCCTCTGAAGTAATTATTTATTTATTTTCTCTGAACAGCCTCTTTTCAGTTTCCTCTTTCAGCCCAAGCTGCTCGTACACCTCCTGCACCAGCACAAGCTCCTGATGCTAAGTCTGCTTGTCAAACACTTGTAGCCCCTGGGCTGTGGCTTCCTAGCCAGCATCTCCCTTCATGCTGCACAGCTTCTGCAGGCAAATACAACAATCCTTAATTGGAAACATAACGGAGCATTAAAACTCTTGCTAACAGAAATATTCTGAGACATTTCTCAGGGGTGCTGAAAGCTAACACAGGGATTAAAATTACTACCGTGCTTCCTCCTATTGGTGCCCAAGTGATTGGCTATTTTTGGTTTGGGGTTTTTCTTCAGTTGTTTGCTTGTTACGGTTTTTTTGCTTTTATAGAGTAGCAGTAGTGGGTGGGTGGTTTTTTGACTTTTTAAATTTCTTTTCTTATTTTCTCTTCTCTTGTTTTTGCCAAATGCTTCTTCCTTTCATTATGTTTTATACGATTAATGTTTTTTAATCATCTTCTCTTGCAAACACAACCATTTCAGTTCTGTGCATTTCCTGGCTTTTAAAATTTACCTTCTCTGAAGTAAATTTATTCTCTCTGAAAAGATATATTTCAGGTGAGCTTTGGACCCAGAGCACCCCGTACACCTGCTACTTCTGCTCCTGCTCCTGCTGGTAAGTCTTATTTTTGAATTTTTTCTTTTCTAACCTATTTTAATTTCTTTCTTTCTTGCTTGCTTTCTTGCTTTCTTTTTAAGAGCCAAAGGCTTTTTCCTTTCTTTCTGTTATAAGCCATTAACATTCAGAATAAGTTTGTTTCCTTGAATAAAAAACACAGCTTTGGAGTTAATATGATGAGAGGTAAAAGATGTCTTGAAGTGAGTACTTGTAGCTCTTGATTTAAAGTGCTATACCACCAATTTATGGGGCAGGATACTTGTGCTAATGTCCTTTGTCTATTAAATATTTCTATCTAATAATCAGGTGCCATGTCTTTCAAAGAAGCATTTAAGGAGCAAACATTTCTAAGGACTTCACATACGTGCCCTTGTGAGCAGCATTTGACAGCAAACATAGATTCTCTCCTGATTTGTTTTTTATCCTTTTGTTACCCCCAGCACAGCGGAGAGTGCCTGGACACAGAGTCCATACTGTGTCTGACACCAACGTTCCTCCCGTTGTGCTACCGGCCAGACCCTACAGCGCATCTGACACCAACACAGCCTCCGTGCCATGCCACGCACAACAGGTTTTGGGTCATCAATGGAACCAGCCATCAACCTGATACCAACCAGAACCAATAGTGGGCCCTCCATGCATGCATCCTCCCACACCAGACGAAACAGAGCTTTTACCCTGCCTTCAAGCAACATGCCCTCCCATCTGGCAGGAAACAGAGCTGGTACTGGCTCTTCATCCTTCAGGTTCAGACCACGCAGAACCAGTTCTTTGCCTTCAGTAGCTCCTTTCAGCCGGGATGTCTTACCCAGCACTAGAAGAAAGAAGGACATTTAATTATCAGATGTGAAAGACTTCTTCATTGAAATACTAGCTTCTCTTCAGAAGGAAAATACTCCAGCAATACAAGAAGATCTAAATAAAGTACACTCTTCCCTACCTTTCTATTGTAGTTCACTGTATATATTGGTTTGTAATTTCATATTTTTATGAAATTGTCATTCATATCTTCACATTTCTGTGTTCCTAATGAAAAAGCACTTATTTATAGAACTCTTTTTATTGCAGTTTTTAATTTTTATGTAGTCTATTTTAAAATGTTATAAAACAACACCTTTTGGGTAGTTTTCCCCATTCCTAAAAAAAATAAATCAATCACAAGCCATTTTAGTCTCTGTCTCTCATAGTTGTTTCATATCTGTCTATTCTAAACCAGGATTTCAATACTTTAATAGGACTGGGAGAGGTCCATGATATGTACACCAGTGATTCCTCTTGTGGAATGTCATGGCCTTGTGTTTTGGTTTGAAAAGACAGGTGTCTGCTAAGGAAGGAAGGAGCCTCCCTTGAAATGGAAAATGCAAACTCCCTCTCTCTGAATTATCAGTTTGAAATTAAGGGGCTCTCAGGCAAAGACATGGGAGTAGGAATAGTAGTTCTTTATTAGGAAAATTAAAATACAAATGCACTAGTACAAAAACAAACTACTGACAGAGTCAGAATATGCCCTGACACTGTGTTGGTTGGGGTGTTGGGAGCAGTCCAAAGATACATGGTGGCTGTAGCTTTCTTGGAGTGGCAGATGTGCTTCTTTTCAAGCAGTGATCCTGGAGAAGGGTGCAGTCTTCCTCTGAAGGTGCAGTGGTGGTGTAGATGCGCTTGGTCTTCTTCTGGAAATCTGCTGAAAGAAAGCTGCTCTTCTGGGAATCTAGTGGGAAAAGGCTGCCGTGGTGTTGCAGGTTATATCCAGGTAAGAATGCTTGGGTCCTTCCCCTGGGTAGAGCATCTCCCAATGGGATGATGCAATTTTTTCAGTCATACAGTGAGATTCAGTGGCCCACTAACAGAAGATATTTTCCGGAGGGAGGATTGGTTATGGAAGAGATGAAGAAAACTGCCCCACCTGGTTTTAACAGGTGGCCCAATCAGCAGAAGATAATTGCCCAATCTCTTAACAGACAGCAATAGAATACATACTCCCAGACACATTTTCCAACCTAAGACATTATCCACCCCTTATTCTATTAGTATTTGCATTATACTCAAATCAATAAACTTGACCCCATGAAATCTTACACACAGTTCTTACTTAAGACTGGGTTTTGCTGTGGTACACTGTCGCTGTTGAGTTAGGAAGGGATGAAGAAAGGTGACATTGACTCCTAGGATCAGAGAGCATAAAGCGAGATTTATTAGGAACTTCACATATTTAGGGGCAAGATCATTCACCCAGAACTTGAACGCCCCTCACACCACTGGTTAATGAGGAGCAACATCTTCTGGAAAAATATCTTTCCATAAACATGTACAAAGATTCCACGTGTTCACAAATACCAAGTGCAGAGATTAAGGTAAGAATTGTTTTCATTCTTTCTCTGAGCATTCTCACAACTTCCCTAGGACAATGCCTGGGAAAGTTGTCTGTTTCTCCCTCTGTCAGCATCCAGAGATGACAACAAGAGGCCAGGCCAGTCTTGTGGAATCATCAAAAGAGAGGGAAGTCCAGGTTCCAGAGGCCCCATGTCCTCTATGATCTTGTTGATCTTCCTCAGCTCGTGGAGCAATCTCCGGGAATCATAAGTCTTCTTATGAATGACAAAAACTGGGCAATTTCAGGGACTCTTTGTAGGTTTGATGTGGTCTTTTTGTACTTGTTCACTTACTAATTTTTTGAGACTATTCAATTTTTTCTGCTCAAGAGACCATTGATCAATCCAAATTGGCTGATTGGTTTTCCATGGTAATTTCAGAGTAGCAGGCGTTGCTGTGGTTTTTGTCAAAAACCCACTTCTATCTTTGCTCCCCACTGGGACAACACGTCTCTCCCCCGTACTGTGATGGGCTTCTGCACCACGAAGGGACGGATGGTTGCCGTCCTTGCCTTGGGACCTGTAACAGTAATCATGAGTTCACTTTGCAGACACAAGATAGCTCCTCCAGTTCCTGTGAGAGCACCCATGGCTGTCACCAAATTCCAATTGCACAGCCGGGATGCACAAGAAATCACAGTGATGTCTGCCCCTGTGTCCAGCATACCTGCAATATGAACGGCTTGACCAAGGTGTGTAAGACTCCATGTCAGCTCTGGCCCTTCATTGCTGACATGTTTATCCAAAGGACATTAGGCATTGGGCCAGAACTCTTAAAACTCTCAAAAGAACTTTCAGCATACAACTAACCTATTTCTAGCCACTGGTAATGTAATAGTGATAGCTATTGCTGGTTTTGGTTCAATTACCATTGGAGCATTGTAAGTAAGAGCTGAAATCATCAGCTCTTCATTATAATTTGCTGAGACAACAGTTGGAAAAATTGAAAGTCCAAGAATTTTATTACTGTCCTTGCCTATAATGAAAAAATCTTGGTTTTGTTGTGAATACATTTCCTGTGTGAGTGTATTCATGGTAAAAGTTATTTTAAAAATAAATTAAATTGGAATTTGTTAGTTTGCATCATGTCCCTGGGGGTAATAAGTTGGGATCACTTGGGAGATGGTTTTATCTTGTACGACTTTACATCTCACCTTACCCCAATTGGTCAGTCTTTTTCAATTATTTCCTGAATCAAAAGAAGGTAAAGTAGGTTTTCTTTCTTTTTGCGGGATTAGTATGTAATATGTTAACTTCTTCAGAATCACTAGAATTCTCACTGTTCTTTTCCTCCCTCACAACCTTGTAAATTACAGACTGTCTCAGAGGAATTTAAAAGCAACTGGAGCTTGTTTGTTTTGTAATGTTAACAGAGAAATCCTGCCTTTTGCTAGCAGAGACACTGGTCTCGATAATTTTTTCCCTCTTTCTCTCCCCTCAATTTTTCTCACAAGCCCCCTCTGTCTCACCATCCTCCAGCAGCTCCTCAGGGGACAGTGCCTGGGGCCAGCGGCAGCTCCCACCGCTCCAGGGACAGCCGGGGCTGGAAGTGCTGCTCCGCCCGGCCCGGCCGCCAGCTGGGACCCAGCACAGGGACAGGGGACACAGGGGACACCGGGGGAAAAGCAGGAAGTGAGGGAGGAAGCAGAGCAGAGAAACAGGTTAAAAAGAGGCCTCTAACTATACAGATATCAATCTATGTAACTAAACCCCATACACAAATATGTACATGAACACACTTGCTCTCTCATCTCACAACTCATTCTGCAAGTTGCAATAAACAGCTGAATGCTCTCAGTCGCTCCAAGTTGTTCCTCTTACCATCCTGAAGGGACGGGCAAAAGTAGTAATAGGCAGTAGGAACAACTCTTCAATTCTATTAAAACCTAACTCTTCAAAGATCAGTTTTTATTTTGTGTCTTCCAGGGAAGCAGATGTACCAAACACAGAGGAGAACATGATTTTACTCGGTGCTGTTTGGTCTGGCAGTTCGTATGGTCAAGAACTGCTTTCCTCAGGAACTGGTGGAGAATCCCTCTCTGTGCCTCAAGAACTGCATCATGAGTAAAGCCTGAAGGGACCAACTTGCATTTCATGTGTTAGATGGTAATCCTCCCATACTCTGAGCAGTGTTTAATAAAGCAGTTAAGGGATATTGGAAAAACATCCTCTCCTGGCTTGATCTGTGATTTATGGGTAAGAAAAAATGTTGGTTTTCCAAAGAGAAAAACAGTGTTTACAATAGGGAATTCCCTAGACCTGCCTGAGAAAGCTGCACTTCAGAGAAAGCAATGAAGCAATATAGGGATCAAAAAGAAACTTAGCTTAGAGCAGAGAATAAAAGCACAGAAACACATAATACAGATTTTAACCTATCTTATACACTGAATGGCTATGACTCCGAAACTTTTATTTCAAGTTGTATAAGTTTTCATGTCTTTTTCCATCATTTATTTTTAAGTAGGACTGTACAAAGAAAGTAAGAAAAGCATGAAGTACACCTAGTACCGTCTGAAGAGTGATGTTAAACACAGGCAGAATCAAATCATGTCAAACCATGTCAAGCAATTTCTGAAGCTATCTGAAGTCTGCTGGTTAGTCGCTGACTGAAAGGAACAGTAGAAACACCAGAATAAATGCAAAAAAAGACAAGATTGGCTAAGACATCTTTAATAAATATCCATGCATAAGTGCTTTCTACTATGACAAAAAGTTAGGTCAGTTCAGATCAGTGAAAGGATTCTTGCTCACTGCAGTGGGTTGGAAAATGCAAATTGGAAATAATTAACTTTGTGAAAAGATCCCAGAGAAAACAATAAACTGATCTTCGTATCCTTTCTAATCAGTCTGTTTCCTCCAATAAAAACAAGCTACATGCTTATAAATCACAATCATTCCTCTGCTATTAGTCTTAGTTTGGTATTTCACAGCACTCTTAAAATGGAATTTGCTGTTCTCCTTTCTATTCTTCTAGCACTCACATGAGTAGGGACAAAAGTGCTGACAGCTTACAGTGAAGAGTCAAAAAGTGCACCCCAACTGTGTGGTTTTTTTGGTTTTTTATTGCTACGTCACATACGTGTGTGACCCTCTCCTTAAGTGAGCTTCACTATAACCATTCATACCTGCTAAATATCACAGCCATTCAGCAAAGGGATTCATTTGTTTCAAAAGTCAGACTCCTAAAATCAGTGCCCTTCATGAAGCTGCTTTCCCACCGATGGAGACCTCTTCAACAAAGCCTCTTGGGTTTGTCT